TTGTAACAAGTGATAACAGCCGATAATGAGCAATTAAATGTAAGAAACATCAGATCACTTTGTCTTAACACATGAAAGGACAGCAAGTCTTGCTTTTTCAATGCATCATGTGGCTAGTGACTGAACAGCTAAAGCAAAATCTATCAGCCCACGTCTAAGCCGTGCCACCCGTTTTCGAGTCGAATTACTGAATTCTAATGATTTCAGGGCTTTCCATTAGCTTTCGCAAGAAGTCGTCTTTTTCCTATCAAACGGAGAGGTCGGATGGAGCAAAACGTCAGAAGCCCTCCATAGAAAAATTGCTCATCCCTTACCTAATTTTCTGCTCGAGTAAACGCTTGTTCAGAATGGTATGATGATCGGGAACTTTCGTGTTGCTCATTGATATCAACAGCAGATCTTTCTTAACCCTATGATGAAACCATTTCATGTGATATCTGAACAATAATCCAAATCGAACTACCTTGGTGAGGCCACGTCGATTGGAGTTTTACCGGCTTTGTTCTTGTTCTCCCATAGAGCATGGGAAGGTGTTAAAGCAACAATTCCTCTGGCCATGTTTCTTCCATTATTCTACTAAGGCTAATGATTAGTTCTTATTCAAGACAATCATTGTGGGGTTTTTTTTTATTTTGATTGATTTGGACAGACAGTTCTGCTTGGTGCTACCTCTACATCCGTCTTGCAATTTCCAGATAAGGCCACGATCAGCTGCTTACCTTTCATTAAGTTATGTGATATGGACCACGTGGATGTGAGGGAATGCAAGTGTGATTGCCTACATGCATGTCTTTCTATCTACCTATCAGTTCCCTGTTGTGGGATCTTCCCCCTGAATGGCTTGTCAAGCTCGTATACGGCACGGCTTCAGGGCACAGTGCTTGAATTAGGCTTAGCGCTCTTGAATAAGAGGATTAGCGGATCTAGGAGATAGCTTTGAACTTCCTCTAAACTGAATAGGAAGGATGCCCTCGTTAAAATCCAAGAAATTCATGAACGTTTTTCGATTTATACCTCGGCGGCAATATGAAGAATATTATTTCCGTGTTTGTCCACAGACGACAAATCCTCTTCTTTCAGGTAAGCACGAACGAGAGCATCTAGATCTTCACTTGCCGCGATTTGGAATATTGACTCATACTCCTGTAGAAAATGTAATTTCTCTCACTGAAAGTTGAAGACTAAAAGAAAGTGTGACCTACTTCCGAGCAAAAAAGTGCTAAAGAGACTAGCCTTTTACAAAATTCGAGGATGACCCACCCTTTGTGGACTCTAAGACAGACCTCTAGCTTACTCACGCGTGAAGCTTCGACCATCATTCAAATAGAATACATCAGCAATGACTTCTTCATAAGAACACGTCTGTGATAAGGAATTCTAACGACTCATAAGCAGCACCAGTTATTGAATGATTCAGTGTGTCTTCAAATTTGTTTAGCCGAGAACATTTTGTTCACCGACCCCGGAAGATTTCAGAAAAAATGTTGCGTGACTAGTGGTTTGCCGGGGCCATCGAGAATAGGTACTGTAGGTGACCACGCAGACGAAGCAGCGAGCAACAGATTACTCAGTAAACAGTACTTACTTCACAAAAAATAAAGAATTTGAAAGTGAAAACCAACGGTGCCGTATGGAACAAATCATGCGGATGCAACTGTACGTAAGTACGGCTCGCCTCATCGATATTTATCTGCTGGGTTCGGGTATGGGTACTTACGTGCGTCCGATGAAGCGCGCGGCAAGTTGCGTGGCGAAATTTGGGACGATTCGAGCTACTGTGGCGCCTATTATTGGGGCACAAACTTGAATAGAGTAGTTACGTAAATCTGCCAACTCTTCTAATCTACTCTACTTCGAATTTAGGCCCCAATGATAGGCGCTAAAGTCGTCCAAATCGCCACGAACTTCGCCGCGCGCATCCTCAGATGCACATAAGTTCCGTCCCCCGCTGGGTTTTGCTAAGCAAGAGTGCTCGTTGTTGTTGCTTTTTGTAGCAGGACGCACAGGACGATAGCATTCTTCCAGGAAAAGATACTAGACTCGAGTAGAAAAATGTTGCTATATCTACCTAAGTATTCAATCCTGATTAGAGTACCCTGTCCACTACTTAGCAGTACGTCGAACAATTTCGAAGTGAGGAAAAATAGCTTTAAATAGCGGCGTGCCAACTCGTCCGTTATCAAAATGACTCAAAGTTGTTCATCTGTAGATGAAGGCTCAGCATTTTCCGATGTAATCTTCCGGACATAATGCAGCTTGGAGGAACAACGCAGAACCCGTACGTAGATAAACTTATGGCAGAATTTATTTTGTCATTATTTGGCGAAAAAAATGATAAGGACTGACTTAGCACTGCATTGAAGGATCTGTTGGGTGCACGCAGATTTAAATTTACTTTTAATGATGCTTATATAACCTTCTCCATTGATCACGACCTCAAAATTCACAAACAAATGAAAGATTGAGAGAATGATTTGGAAATGATCCATTCTCGACAGAACTAGCTTTGTTGTGAGCTTTCCTTGTTCGGTTCTTTCACTTGAGACTGAACAAGGAAGGTTGAACTGAAATCGATTTTCATGTGAGACGTTGGTGGTGGTGTTCATATGCCTCACCAGAATGTGGACGCTTTATTTGTTGGTAGCGCATAGTCATGGCACACTTTCATTGTTCCGGGTGGTTGTTGTCGTTTTTCACAATGTTCCTTTCATCCAAATTGCTGTTTTCTCAAAAATATGGTCAGTCAATAAAAAATAAGGGCTAATGTGTTTGGTGTTGATCAATTCATTCGATGCGTCCCTACAATCATCTTCCATTCAGAATCGTAGTGAAGTATTGAATGCGAACGTGGCCTATACGGAGAACGTCCGTTGCGCGCGTCCTTCGAAAGTAGGTCACCCCGCCCACTTCGCGCGCGGCGCACCACACAGAGATCCCGAGTTGGCATTACAGTACCTCCAAGTGTCAGCGGAGCGAAAGATTGGCATTTGTCTGTGTTATCTTCTCTTTGAACTGGCTGCCGTGGAACAAGCGCAACTCGTATGCCCCACTGAAAAACGCGACGTCTGTCAAGTATCGCGCGCTGACACGCTGCGTGCGACGGCTGCGACGTGACCTAGTTTCGACGGACGTGCGCAACGAAGCGCACCCGGCCTATGCAGTGATTGTGGTGGCCAACCGATGTGCTAATCAGTGAGTGTATCCTCCCCTGAAGGAAGAAGATTAGTCAGCTGAAGCGGATATCGATACGGGATTTGAACCAGTGACCATGGGTGTGTGGTAGTGTCCCCTGGAAGTACACCAATACTGCCACCTACCATCAACGTGCGTGGTCAATGATAGCAAAACTTTCATTGACTATTGAGAACACTTTTCAAATGGAGAGGCTATGGCAATGCACTGTTAGTGCATTAAAGTTGTTTTTGAGCATAAATGAGGTACAAGGCACCGAATGAGCATTGAGTTATTTGATAGATCACACGTAAACATTTGAGGAATATAGTGGCCGTATAATACTAATTCCTAGAGATACACGCAAAACAAAAGCTTATAAATATTAGTAAAAAAAAATTCCTGAAGTGCTTGAGACTGAACTGAACCCGTTGGGCGTGAAGTTGAATTAGATGAATGCAAAACACGATTCAATTAGTGAATGGATTTGTGGGCAGGAGGCTTGTGGGAAGTACCTGAAAAAGAAATTCTTTGGAATGGACAGGTGGTTGAGGCATCAAAGCTCAGGAAAGCCGTGAAAATAGATTACCTTTTGGCGAAATTACAATTCTTTGCAATCCATTCTGAAGGATTTGTTATGTGGAAAACGCGAGTGAATTTGTTTATGGCAGCACACTAAATTATGAATTGGAGATGAAAAAGTCGTGTTTTGCGCAAGTTCGATTTCTACCTGAGATGGTTTCAATCGGTACTGAAAATGCTTAGTTGTTGTGCTTGTAGGAACTTCAGTAGAGGCCAATTTTGCGAATTCTCTCGCTTCTTTTTCTTCGGCAATCTTTCGCAAGNAATGGACAGGTGGTTGAGGCATCAAAGCTCAGGAGAGTCGTGAAACTAGATTACCTTTTAGCGAAATTACAATTCTTCGCAATCCATTCTGAAGGATTTGTTATGTGGAAAACGCGAGTGAATTTGTTAATCGCAGCACACTGAATATTGTTATTGATACTGGTTGAAAGACATTTGAAAAAGACCTATACTGGTTTCGGTTCAATTTTTACCTGAGATGGTTTCAATCGGTATTGAAAATGCTTAGTTGTTGTGCTTGTAGGAACTTCAGTAGAGGCCAATTTTGCGAATTCTCTCGCTTCTTTTTCTTCGGCAATCTTTCGCAAGCGTTCCTGCAAGTGAATGGCCTGAATTTCTAAGTACTTAGGTGATTACATACTTGTATACCTCTTCGATTCGTTGTTGTTCTTCGAGTATTCGTTGCCGCCTTAACTCCGAAGCTTTCTGTTGTTCTAACTGTTTCTGCATCTCTTCATTTCTTCTATTGAGCTCCTCACGCAAAACACGATCCGTTTCTGTTCCTTGCTGTTCTTCTAGTCGTTTTTCTTGTTCATGTTTAATCTGAACTTCGGCTCTAACGGTCAGCTCTATGAGTACTAACAGCTTGCTTAGGTTAGGCTAATCTTACATGATGCTTAAAGACATAGTTCACGATAAAAATGGTTTCTGAGACTTAATCATGGAATGAATATGGGTTTCCCTCGTATACCATATCTGACGCTATTAGGTCGGAAAACGGTCTAGGTAGGGCATTATAACGGCTAAAAGATCGCACCGTGTGTATCCTCGGACAAGTTACAACGGCACTGAAGAGGCTCCACTAATCACGAGGGAACCCATGTAGGAAGTTCAAAGAGCTTTTCATGACCCATAGCGACAGTGGAAAGCAGTTCTGTACAGTTCCGGCTTGGTGTAGTCAGATCATTACGCAATGGCACTAACTGCAATCTCGTTCGAATACCTCTTCCATGTTACTTCCGTCATGGTAATCTCGTCCAACGTCTATTTTCCCTACTTTGAAGGAGCCATATTATTTCGAAATCGGCGAATCCTCCTGCTTTCTTCACTATCGATATTCCCATAACATAACAATTCCAGAACTATTGCGACCCCTTATTCAACAAAAGTGGGAGCACCTTATTTCATAAACCAATTGTTCTCACCAAAAAATGTTGTCTTCTCTACACGGAAATCGTCGTAGAGTTCGTCGTACAAGGTAATCTCATATAGCTCAGGAAAGGAATTGCGCATGGGCAAAGATAATAACGAAAACACATCACATACAGGATATAAAGGATTCACCTGCTCAAAACGGATTCGCTCTTCCCTCATTCTTTTTTCGAAGATGTCAGTTCTTCGCATCGGCGAACTATCCTCTGTTCTGAAATGAAACTTTGACGGCACTCAGCACTTTTGACGGATATACCAATTTCTATTGCGTTCTGTATCGACCAGTTGGATCGTTCGGCTCGGGTCCGGGAACTTCTCCCTTGTCACGGCGTCGCACCACGCCGCACCCGCCGCGTATCGCAGGATTGCGATGGAAGATTGGAGCGCGCAATTTGTGAGGTAGGGAGTCCTTTAATTATTTGAATTGGCTGACCGCTTCCTTCAATTTCAATGCAATCTTGATCGCCGCTTACATAGGAGGAGTNATTTTAATTAATTAGGTCTAATAAACATGAAAACGAAAAAGAAACAGAAGAAAAAACGATAAAATCCAATGAAAAAGCAAGCCAGTCAAGGAAAAATATCGCGTCCTATCGATTGGCGGGGAGGCAGGGTGAATACGGTAATTGCAGTGACATTTGCCGCATGCCGCATGGGAGAATGCCGCGATAGGGGAGAAGTTCCGTTACCCGTTCGGCTCCACCCCCGTTTCCTGTGAAGACGGCCTGTCGCTCACGGCTCTTACAATTTCAGACGCTCTGGTACGGGAAAGCAGGAGGTCTCATTTCCCGGACAAACACCCACATACACACACATACACACACATACACACACACACACATAGACACACACTCACGGATACACACACACTTAGCGCGTTATATAAAGTAGGATGATCTGCAGCACAAGAGGTTGCTCAGGTTGTACATCAGGGCACAAGAGGTTGTTCATCAGGCTCTTGCAGTGATGAAGGCGACTCCTGAGCCCTTCGGTGTTATACTTACGTGATAGTTGTACTTGACAGTGTTGTTGTTACAAAAGCATCCCCAGAGATAGCATCCACCGTAGAAGAGAATAGATCGATTTTCTCGGCAGTTTCTTCGCTGAAAGAACTTCATATTAATTTGGATATTTCCATGCTATTATACACCAATTCAGAATTCTATTGGTCACTTACGTTGTGACAGGTACCATATTGTCGTTAGTAACAGCAGACGGTGGAGTTGTCGACGATCCTTAAAGTCACATTAATAAGGGATGCCAGCCACAAATATCGTTCAGCTCACCTTCTACCACTTTTCGATGACTACTTGTCTTCTTGTCATCACTTTTTTCTTCAGAAGAGGATACTGCTGCTGGGTCGAGGACCAAAAAACTCCCTACTTTCTCCAGGTTCTCGGATGTGGTTGTTGAGATCGTCCTCCTGGCTCCAGAAGTGACCGTGGTAAGGTCTTCTGTTGTAGGTTCCTTCGTGATGATGTTATTTGGTAAGGATGGAGGAACAGTCGAAGACGGAGACCTAGACGTCGTTCTATCAACGTCTTCTGTAGTTGAAGATAGTGCGCTTCCTGGTGTTGTCGTCATCTCAACAGAGGTGCTAGCAGGTTCTTGTTCGTCATCGTTCTCTGAGATCTCCGTGAAAGAGTCCTCTCCATCTGTCGAAGGACTTGCGGAGGAACTCACATGTTCCTCGGTCATACCTACTGTGGTACTATCGGAAGATGCTGTCTCGGAAACTGTCGTATCCAAGTCGCTGTCAGTTGTGGCATCAGTTTCTTCCCCACTGGTGGAAGCTTCGATGTTTGTAGCTGTTGTAGTTGTCGCCCAATCATGATCGTTGTCTTCTGCTTCCTCTTCTGTCTCGCTTAAAACAAATGAGGGCTCGTCTTCAACAACCGTGGTAGCAGTTGCTGCAGAAGAATTTTCTTCGGAGTTCTCGTCTTGCGATGGCGATTTCGTTGACGGTGAAGATGGCTGTCTCGAGGAGACCGGCATCGCTGCAGAACTCTTACTATGGACATCACTTTTGTCAACAACGTCAGTGTCAACGTTAACTGCGGAAGAATCTAAAACCTCGGCAAATTGTGG